ACCCAAGGAAAATGATATGCCTCAATTTGAGGGGAAAAAAGACCATTTCATTATACAACTTTTCCACAAGCTCTAACAAATCTTCTTACTACAACCTCTGTAGTGTCTGTGAAAACATTCAATATTTGCTTTAAAAAAGTAGAAAGAGCTGAATATCGTAAAGAAGAAAAAGAGAAGAGGAATGATATACCTAAGCACTTCAGAGATTTCTTTAGAATAGTGTGAATCACTTCCATACAGCTACTTGCAGATAGAAAACTACATACGTTTTTAGGCAAAAAGGTCTCTTGCACCCTAGGAATTGTAAACATTTGATTTTCTGCATCAGTACATATGTAAAAACAAATTTACGCTTACACACTAAGGCAGTGGTACCCAACCTTTTCACCATGTGGGCTGGATGGGTGGTGCCAGGTTCCTCTGCAGGCTGAATCCAGCTGTGTGGCACTGTGCAGCCAGATCCTGATCTGTCCACCTGGGGCAGGTGTGGGGTGGAACAGCTCTGAGCCAGACATACTGGGAGGAGGGGGTAAACCAGCCCAGCCCTGATCCCAATCCGGGGAGTGTCCCCAACCTGGATGTGCAACGTGGGGAGGGGGGTGGAATGGCCCTGATCTGGACATGTGGAGGAGAGCAGCCTGGCCCCAATCCAAATGTGTGTTGGGGGGTGACAGAGTGGGGGTGGAGCGGGCTGGAGCAGAGCGTTTCAGCCCTGATTTGGATGTGTGGGTGTGGGGGTCAGAAAGAGCAGTTCTGCCCAATCTGGATATGCAAGGGGTAGACCTGATCCCGCTGCACAGGTAATGGTCCAGGCAAAGCTGGATCCAGCCATGTGGAACTTCCACCACTCCCCGCTGCCAAGTTTGTCCAACCCATAGGGATGCCCGTGGGCTGGATGCCATGGCTCTGCAGGCCATATTTGGCCCAGGGGCCAGGGGTTGAGCACCCCTGCTCTAACGAACTAAGTCAAAGCCCACTGAAGTCAATGGGAAGACTAATGGCATCCAGTGGTCACTAAATCAGCCCCTATGCAAACAAACCAGCATGGGGCTGAGTAACATGAGCTTTCACTAAGTCAATGAGTGCTGAAGGCAGAGTATTTCTTACAAAGATTATTCAGTACTTCACAGTAGGTATCTACACATGCGCTTTACTATGCAGTAAACTAATCACTTCTCGGCCTCATGAAGGCTCAGATCAAGTGCAGTAAGGCATCACTGTCTACATGTGTGTGGCAACTGGGCCAGTGTATACTAATTTACAGCACTGTTGGATAGTCCCATCAGACATGGGTATTATCTGATGGAGGAGTAAATTACTGCATTTAAACACACGTGTAGATGGTGATGTCAGGATTAGTTTACTCTGGCTCAAACTGTGCTGGAGTTTACTTAGTTGCATTAATTGCACTTGTAGATGCACCCAGTATCACCAGAATCCTAGTTTAGGCTCCAGTTCAGGAGAGTGTGTAAGCATGTGCTTAACTTTAATAAAGCAAGGACACTTTTTCTAAACTGGGACAACAGTTAGCTCATAAGAAACAGAAAAATATAATTCAGTTGATTTGCCTTTGTAGCCATTCAGAAATAATGCTTTTCTCTATTCTTTTTGCTTTTGTTTGTCTTAAGCAATTAATTTGTTTGATACCAGTTAGAAAAGTTTTCTTAACAGTTGGGAAAACTTCCTTGAACTAATACGTTATCTTCTGAACTTAATTAGGAGCTCAAAAGGCTCTAAGGTCTGAATTTTAAAAGACCTCCCATATGGATCATAAAACATTTTCAAAGAACTGTTTTAGGCTCAGACTATTTCTATTCTGCAGAAATGATAAAAATAAAACATGCCCTGTTCCCAAAAAAACTTCGATAACCTTGATGTTTTTTTCTAAAAAAACCCTCCATTTCCTTTGTATTACTTAAGAATGTATGTATGGAAAACCATATGGCATTTTGTAGCTGAGCACCCAGCTGCTACAAATTTCTTAAAAACTAGAAAATTGGTTTATGTCTATTGCTTATTTAGACACGTTAATGAGAATCTAGTACACCTAACTAGTTAAGATGTTTGCTTATTTTCTGAAGACTGAAATGTCTAAGTGGGTACTTGAGATTCACATTTTTGAGATGTTAGATATCCACCTAAATAAAGACTATGTGAACTTATTTAGTCCCTTGTAAGTAGATATGCTATCTGTTTCTAAGTTCACCACAAGGGTGTGAGAATATTTGGCCTCTTGGTTGCTATAAATTACCTGGAGACCATCAGGAATGAGTACACAGATCACATGCTTTTAATGGTTCATATTAATTCTGTGGATGTGCCACTTTCTAACAGGTTTTGCTGTTGCATTTATCACCTGTAAAACAGGAGATCTTCTGGGTTCTGTGGATATTTGAAGAAATGATAAAAGTTGACATCACATCTTCATGGCCCTACAATGGGCAGCAGATATCCATGGAGAAACTGAGAGAATGACTGAGTGCCAGAAGCATGGGAAATGGTGACACTTACAAAATTATTATGACTAGAAAAGGAACTATAGAGCTAGTTTTGCCCCTTTAAGCCAACAGGTATGTATACTGTTTGTGGCAATAGGGCTAATCATTTAATGTAAACTCACACTAATAAGAATACCTTCAAGAATGTACATTTCTAGAAGTTCAAACCTCAGAATTCAGTGTCACATCTGACCCAGGATTACGCTTCCTAACTGGACCAAACGGCAGCTTACTTGCTAACACATAGCAATGCCTGAACGTAACCTCTAAAAGCCCTGTTGATGAACAAGGGATAAATTTCTAAATTAATCCAAACTGCCACATGGTAAAGCCATCTGTGAGGATATTTTGAAGGAAACAGATGGAAGACGAAGAGATTCCTCTGAATGTAGTGTAAGATTTACATTATCCTCCATGAACTTCCATGTAGTCCCCATGTTTATGTAATTTATCACTATTTCCTTAGACAGCTCAGATTAGGAAGCCCGCATGAGCTCATGTTCTTGTTGTTAATTCTGAGTCTGAACTCCTCTCCTTTAAGAGGAAATTCAATAGTGTAAAAAGAAGAGAGAGAAAGGCAACTGGGCTGACTGAAGACCAGCCCTGTCAAGTTCCTGATCATCCCAAGGATTACACAATGCTACCTCTCCTCCTTTTCAGTTTGAGAAGGACATTTCAGAATGTGTGCACCCACCATGGCACACTACATTCACTGTCAGGCAACCAAAACTGGTGAAAGCAAATGCTTCTGTCAGTGTAAGTATTAGAGCAATGCCTATTAGAACTGCTGAGGTATCACGGCCAGTCAGTATTTTTTTTTGGTGGAAAATAGGAATGCCAGGGCTTTAAAAAAATGAGTGAAAATTTGCTGAACAAATAACAAATAATTGCTTTTTATGTTTATAATTTCTGTAATTTAAATAAAGATTTACCTAGAAGTTCTGGTAATAACTTTGGATTTCTAAACAGCACTCCTTCCCCACCTCCCCCAACTATGCTTTCTGTGAATATAGTAAAAAGCAGAGATTACACATGGGAAATTCAAAGGGATTAATATTTAATCTTGTTCATTAAGGAAAAGAAACCCTATCCCTGGCCAATGAGAAGCTGCAAAGCTGCTCTTTGGAAGTTACTGTGGCTCGTCAGTTAAATTAGCCAAAAACTGCTCTCAACTGCAACACCTCTGTGAACTCATCTGCACATACAATTAGTGTGGCTGAAAAAACTCTGCCACAGTTTGTGCTGCAGTTTACTGCTCCTGGGTGCACTGATCCCAGGTGACCACAGCATGTTGAGCCACAGCGGCACAACCCTGGCTGGCAGGGTGCTGAGAGGGTGGCGGGGGAGTCAGCCTGCCAGGCCAGAGCTGTTCTGCTCAATGTGCTGTGGAGGGGCTGCCTGGGGCACAAGGGTGCTACAGTGCAGGGCTAGCCAGCAGGCAGCCCCCACACAACAGCAGCCTTGTGCCCCAGCCAGGACTGGTCACTGTCTACTTGCGTACTGCAGCGCACTAAATAACTATGCCATAGGACAGTACCTGTGTCAGGCAGTACTATTCTACAGGACAGTTAATTAGTTTACTCTGGTCTAATAGTGCCACATGTGTAGACAGTGATGTTTCACTGTGGAGCTAATTAATCAGCTCCACAGTAAAGCACATATGTAGATGCCCCCTGTGAGTAGAGGTGAATGGGAGTACCAGGTAGCAGTGGTTCTTCCTTATTTTATTCTCCCTTTTCCTGCCACCTGTACAGTGACACCCTTCACTACAACATACACCCCACACTCCCTTCTTGTTGCCTTTTGCACCACAGAACCTAAACATCTTTGGTACCGCCAGGGGAGGTGGTTGAATCTGAGCTTAAGTGTGGTGTTACTTCTACATTATCTTGAATATTATCTCTACTAGTAGGACAGTAATATTATTGCATGTGTGTCATCATTGTTGAGCTTTTATTGATTTCTTTTTCAAAAACTGGACTCATACATGCTTTTAGGGCTCATATACTTTTACCTCTTGAGCTCAAAGCTACAAGTTTCTGTTTTTATTTAAATTTGTTTTAATTGTTAATTTGCATTGTTTTATAGTAATACTTTCAAACCATATGGTAGCCTGACAAAACTACTATTCCATTAAAAAGTAGACCAATTTCAAGAACAGCGCTATATCCATTATGGCCCTCATTCTGCAGTTCTTTCTTATTTCATCAAAGCATGTGCTTATAAATGGATGGGAATAGACTTACTTAAATAGCAGGGTGAGGTATTTTTACATCTCCCTTAAACAGAGGCTCTCCAAGCAGGGTATTATTTTATAAAGGTTGAGTCTATTTCATTGCATAGATTTAGCAAAATATTTAGATGATGGATGTATTTTTCCACTGATGAAGTATTAATGTTACTGCTTACATTAAAATGATACTAAACTTACTAACTTAAGTCCTCAAGAGCTAACAAATTTAAAATAGCCTCTAGAATTAATTCATATGAACTTTTCCTTACCTGAGCAGGCTTCTTTTGAACCACTTGTTGAGGCTGCAAGGAAAAAAAACAAACATGATTTAGACCTTTCATACAGAACAAAAAACATTCAAGTCACCTACTTGAAACTTATACAAGTCTTGAGAAAAGCACAATTATATGCTTTTAAATAAGAAGCATGTTAAATGACAATACATACAAAAGACAAAATTCAGAAATGACGTGAAATGAAGTGTGTGCACATTTCCTACTGTCACTCTGACAGTCCTACGTCTACTTATATCCTCTCTCTCAAAATGTGTAAAGCAGCCCTGAGAGTTGCAGAGAGAGAACACATAAGTAGAAGTGAAAACAAGTTAAAGCTTAATTTAACACACCCTTTCCTCCAACTCTCTAGAACTACAAACTGCTTAAAGAGTGGAGTTTTGACTCCTGAGTTGAAGGGATTTTGTCAGCATAGGACCATCTTACTGTACAGTGCTTAATACAACCTCTGAACTTGTTTCAGAGAAGTTACACAAGGTTTAAGGAAGACTATCACTGATCAGTTTTTTTCTCCTCTATTGCTGGAAACACCTTATGAATATTAAAACCTGACACTCTTTAAACTAGATGTATTTTTTTCTATTTTTGCTTTTTATTTATTTTCCATTCTTTGCTTGGCTTGGAGGATGAAAGTAGACTATCCTGCTAACTTTGGTTATTATTTTTCATTCACTAGCACACTGCTGCTCTGTCCAGGTTGCAAATTGTAAGGAACATATAAATCCCATTCCCAGTCTAGGCCCATTTCTACTTAAACAAGTTGTATCCTAGAAATATTTTATTAATGCTATGTTAGAATGTGTTAAATATGTGCACACATACATATTTGGACAGCTTAAATTACTCAATAGTTTCCTCATATTATATTACAGAATGAATAAGACAGAGCCCAATTTAGTCTCTAAGAGCTTTCACAGTAGACAGAGATGCATGTTAATATCTCAAAAGTGACATTTTTCTGTACTGGCATTCCCAAAGTGCCTAGGAATGGGAGCACAAATCCACCACAGTCCCCCTGAAACACAGTTAAGTGCAGCAGAAAATTGGACAGCAATAGGGGAATGGGGCATCAAGTTTTCATGTTAACATATAAACATCATACTCCATGAGCCCATGTTCTACCTGAAATGCAGGCACTGAAACACAGATGATCTGGGTAAAGTTGACTTGGTGGATCTGGTGAAAAGCACAAAGGCTGCTTGCAGATGTTTAAAAAAAACAAACAAAAAACCAAAAAACTCTGTGCTTTACTGGAAGCAGCTGTGCATTACTTTGACCCGGATCTGCAGCATCAGTATAGATCGGGCGCTTCAGTGGGGCTTTTTGGCACTTTTATCTGAAGTTGATTCAATCAGCTATTAGATAAAAGGCCAGAAAAGCCCCACTAAAGCACCTGATCTATACAGACAGGTAAGCTAGTCCAAGTAATGTGCTGCCTCTTCTGGGCATGCACTGGGCTCGGCATGGAGGCGTGCAGAGTTTAAAGCACCATTTTGGGGTCTTTTTAACGTTTGCAAGTAGCCAAAATGACAAACTACTCACATGGAGTAAAGTCCTCCCATTGCCTTGAGTGGGACTGAGCTTTCTCATCCATCGTATTTTATATTTCCAAAGAACAAAGAATCAAACTCAGTGATTTTTTTTTTTTTTTTTGTGATTATAGCTCTATTGAGTACTGCCTACTCCCAACAAAAAACCTGACTCCGGGGTCTTGGGCATAATAGTTTCCTTAGATGTTCAAAGGCTAGTTTTCATTTCAGTGCTTGTACGACATAACTTAAATATTTCTTAGCAAAGAATCTGGTGTAACTGGCCTTTAAGAGAAACATTTAGTGGAAAAAAATCAATGGAAATGTAAATTAGATGTAAAGGCATCAATTCAAATCGCCCACCACAAAACATTCTGTTTTAACAATAGATGCTTTGTTTACTTGCAACAATATTCTCCTTCGATAGAGTCCTGTTACTAATATATTTTTGTATCCATGTACAGAGCTCTATACTGTGTACTGAACACAGTAAATAGGAAAATAAATGCAATTACTGGGTCTGGTCATTTTTCTTTTGTGTAGACCCCTTCTTTTCTAAATTACTTTACAGCCATTACAAAGACACTCTTTTTGTTGACGCCTTTCCCAGGTGTACTGCAGGCCCTGGAATGATTTAGGATATCTGTTGCCTCTTGGGAAATGAGGGTGGCTGCAAAGAGATTATCCATTTGAAAAGAATCACTTTTAAGACTAGAATTCACTGAGGTCTTCAATAATCTAAATCACCAGCGCTTTCCTGCCTTTTCCCCCTGCTGATTATACCTGTACACATGTTTACTCTCAGACCACATCAAATTCACAGACATTCTTGCAGGCTGACTGGTTCCTACGGCTCAGAAATCCCCATATTTTTTGGCTGTGGATCCTGCATTCATGTGACTCCTGCACACTGTAGCTCAATGAAATCCTCTGAAAGAGCTGCCAACTCACCAAATTTTCCATGAATTAGGTCCTGACACTTCAATGAAGGGAAAGACAATGTCTGAAACAAGGCCAGCTCTGGCTCTCTGCCTAGTATGTGTCACAGTAATTCTATCAGCTGCCCTTCCACACAGCACTTCATACTTTTCAGACCACCAAAAAGACCCTTGAAAACTTTCAATGCTAGTTGAGCTTATAGCTGCCAGCACGTTTTCCTAGCCTCTGGCACCCAGTGGCTCCAGACTGGACCCAGAAAGTTTGTGTGTGTGTGTTTGTTTTGTTTTTATTTTTATGAATGGCTTTAGCAGAGGACTCTGACTGAAGCACAAAACTACAGTCATTCATAAAAAGCAAAGGGAAAATACTGTACTTCACCCGAATGGAAACTGTTTCTGATACTGACAGAGCTTTATAAGACACTTACTCATTCAGCTCCTTTGCTATCTTAATATTTAATGCTCAGAGCAGTTTGCTGTCTGCCAGCAAGGGTTCATGTGGATTTTTGAACTTGGATACACTGCTTCTTATGCTTTCTACCCTTATAAGGAAGAACTGTAGGGCTGAGGGGTAGCTATTTAAGATTTAAAGCATGGGTTAGATCCTTGGCTAATACAAACAGAATACTCCATTCAAGACCAAAGAGCTGTGTTAATTTGCACCCATGTAACAACTAGCTGTGACATTTCAAATTGTGCAACTTAGAATACAATGATTTTTGTGGGTTTTGCTCCTCCACTTTGAGTCAATGGTGCTTTGTCTGACTATGGACTGAAAATGTTGTAGTCAAGTAGTATTTACTTTAATTCTTTGAGGCCTTCGGGAAGCCCCTACCTTGAAGGCAAAGGAGTTCAAGGGTACACAACCCACACAGAATCAAGACTTAACAGTCAGATCCAAATTGTTCCCATAGGTGCCTAAACAGGACTATGGTGGGATTTAGGCAGAACTTAGGCACCAAAGTCACAAAATGTGATCCAGATTGATACTGTTCCAACAGCCACAAAAACCATGCACATTGACACCTCCACTGTGGACTGAAAAGTTCCCTGGGAACCTAGGTTTGGGTTGCTGAATATGCTTAGAAGCAAGTTAGAGCATAACAGCTGCCCAAGCTCCACTGAGATCTAGACTGCAACAGGGAGGTGCCAAAATTCTACCTAAATCTCTAGTCTAGTAAGTGATCACAGAGAATTGCCGAGGTAGATAGCACCCAACTCTTTTTTTAATATCCTTGTGGTTAAAGCACTTGGTCAGGATTTGGGTCCTCCTCATCCGAGGGGACTCAACCCAACATGTCTGACTTCCCCAAGAAAGTTGCTTAGAAGCAAGCTGCAGAATAGGCTGGAAGGGAGCACCTACTTCAGGGGCCGGCAATTATTTCAGGCAGAGGGCCACTCACCCAGTTTTGGCAGTCTGTCGAGGGCCGTATGGCTAGCCCCTCCCCTTCACAGGTGCTCCACCCCTTGACAGGTGCCCCACCCCATGGTCACCATCTTGGAACCAATGTCCCAGGGCCAACACCAAAGTGGGGTGCAGACTGGCAGGGGTCTGTGGAGCTGGTTTGGGCTGCACCAGCAGGGAGAAGGGGGAGCTGGTTCCATAGAGCCCCTGCCAGCTGGGACACTGTGCTCCTGCCACCCTGTTCTGGACCCCGCCGGCACTGACCCTGGGGCACTGGTGTGGGCCCCATGCTCCTACTGGCTCCCTGTCCACTCACACCCAGTGCCCTCCAGTCCTGCAGCACAGGCGGGGGGCAGCGCACAGCCCGACCCCCTGCTTGCCGGCAGGGAAGACGCTGGTGCTGAGCACAGGGAAAAGTGGCCCCTCACCCACCTCATGGCCAATGCTCTCTGCTGCAGGTGCTTGCAGCCCACATGGGCCTGTCTGGAGCAGGCGCAGGCAGTTCCAGGCAGGCTGCAAGTGGCTGCAGTGCGGGGCACTGGCCACATGGCGAGCGAGGGGTTGCTTTTCCCCACGCTTAGCACCAGCTTGTAACCCGGCCCTGCTGCCAGCCTGGCAGTGGGGCCGGGTTACAAGGTGGTGTTGGGGGGGAGGAGGGGGAAGTAGCCCCTCACCTGCCCCATACCCAGTGCCCCACACTGCAACCGCTCGCAGCCCGGCTGGGGTTGCCTGTGCCTGCTCTGGACAGGTCTGTGTGGGCTGCGAGCACCTGCAGTGGGGAGCACTGGCCATGGGGCAGGGGAGGGGCTGCTTTTCTCTGTGCAGAGAAGGAGCCCAGGGAAAAGCGGCCCCTCCCCTGCCCCATGGCTGGCGCTCCCTGCTGCAGCCACTGACAGCCCACACAGGGCTGTCCAGAGCAGGCACAGGCAGCCCCACACGGGCTGCAAGCAGCTGCAGCATGGGGCGCTAGCCATGGGGTGGGGAAGGGGCCGCTTCCCCCCCTTCCCTGCCCAGGGTCTCCCCCACTCTTCTCCCCCCCTCACTTACTTGTGGTTCTGCCACGGGGCAGCCAGTGCTCCCAGGCCAGAAGCCCCGGCTGGGGCTTCCGGCTGGGGGGTGGGGCTGGGTGGGCCCTGC